GGAACCAAAAATCAAAATAAATCCGAGAAATAATCCGAAAAGATAGTTTTATTTAAAATGTCAAATATTCGTATAATTCTAAGAAAGTATTATACGACATAACATTTAAAATATGTAGTGTTTTTTGTTATCTATCTCGGATTAAAATAATTAGATCGACGGAGATGACACGACGGATAGATTATAGAACAATAAAACAAACAAAGCTGTCAATTAACATGCTTTGTAAATTTTCTTGTATCCAGAAAATGTGTGTTAGTAAACAGTGATCGATTAGTTGAAAAAAATCTCAAAAAAAATTTGCTTATAATTGTGTAATAACATGTGTACGCTCCTGATCCTGGCTTCAATCCTGCCTGACCTGATAGGGTATTGCAGGATTAACGGCATTATAAGGTAATGATAATTTCATTTCTAGCGTCAACCACTTTCTACCGTGTACTTATTATTACCGTTATTTTTTAGACTGTGTATATCATTTTCTATTTCCATTTTATATAATAATATAGATTGTCTATTAACATTTCGAATTCTACTAATATTACGTAAATATATTTCGAAATAATGAAAAAGGGATTTAATATTTTAATTTTATTCAAATCCAATATTGAAATGGCTTTTTAGAAATTCTATCAAATATATACAGATTCTATCACATAATTTGGCTGTAGATATATTTTTTGATTATAACAATTTATTTAATGAGTAATTGATATAATCGTGTCGTGATCTTACTCTGTAATTAGAAGTGTAGTCTGAAATCCTGTCTGTAACGAGTTTCAAATTGGAAAATCTACTCAGGGACCGAGTTTAGAGCCTCTCCTTTGTTTTTCCAATTTTCTCGTTATTACGTGAAGAAAGCTCTAATCATAGTTGCAATTGTATCTTTTCATAATGTATTATTTCATTTCTTTTAAAGTTATTAAGGTTATTTTTAATTAAAATAAAAAAAGAAGGCATATTGTTTAAATATCGTTAAAATCATTTTTTGCATTGTTGTGTTATTTTTACGAACAATGCAATATGTGTGAAACATGACCAACAGTAGGAACAGATTAAAAAATCATCCAGGATAATAAAGAACTTATCGGCTGTGAGATCTGACGCCGGTGCCTAGCGAATGGAAAAAAGTAAAAAGGCGGGAACTTGATTCATAATGGCGTCAAACATGGCGGCACTGATTGCGATCTGAAAGGCAGATAAGGGGGGTGGCTAGCTTTGTCTTGTGGCTGATGACTATTACAGTGGATATAATAAATAAACATCTGCTGCAATTATTATTTGCATTGTATGAAGGTGCTAATGTAGTGTATTTAGTGATGTGACTTTAATAACTTGGAAATAAATGACTACCTCGACTTTGTAAAGGTTAATTGGTTTTTATTTTTGTGTGGTAGCTTACAGTTGTGAATAAACGCATTATACTAGTATTTTGTTCTTTGGTTAGTTTTATCGTGCTTAGAATTAATTACCATTTAGCTTGAAATAACCGATATTTATAATTTTATTACCTAAAACCTATACTCTCTTTATAAAAAAATCTATAAATTAAATAAATAATCTCATATATTCATCATTTCTAATGATGAATTAAATTTTATTGGTACAAGAGGTAAAGAATGTGTAGCGTGTAGGTGCTCTATCTTCTTGAAAAGGGTATAAAGTAAGAGAAAGGAGCAACCAAATGACAAAACACCTCAATTCGGCTATCGCTTTTTTACTATATCTCGAGGGTCTATATTTTAGAAATCACGAACAACGAGAATTCGATGCTGTTCGGATATTTGAATACAATAAAAAGTGTAATAAAATAAACTGGCCGCAATAATTTTTATTGTAAGAAGGGCCCTCGAATTATCATTTAGATGGGGTATTCGGCAATATGGCGCGAATTCGAGGGCAAAAAATAGATCGGCAGAGCTGAGCATCAATTGTTAGGGTGATCTTTTTACTTTTTAGAAATTGCTACCTACTTTGTTGGGATCAGTTTTAGTGGTTGCGCTTTATTAGAAACAAGGTTTTCTTGTTTGTTCGAAATATATAGCAAAAAGTGTACATATTTTGAGTTCACACGTCAAATCGAATAAAAAACACTGAAACTTACAAGTAATATACCTAATTAAATAATTATTTCTTTAATGTTAATAAATAAATAAATAAAAATCAATAAATAAATAAATATAATATAAAAAAATTTGTCTTATAGGTAGGTATATTGGTTTTTCTAAAGCAAGAGATAATGTAATAAAGTTAGAATTTTATGGCAAATAGACATCTTACAAATGACAGAAAATTGTTATGGAATACTTGATAAATAATGAATAATAATTGATGTTGCTTTGTCTTTTAAAGATATGATAATTAGTTCCAGCTAGTTGAGTATTCATGGCAAGTGTCGGGATTTAATACAAATATTAAATTTTAATCTAAGTGTCGTCGCCAACAAGTATTAATGACGATCTCCCCACAAAGAAGCTATTCCCCTGAAACACATTAGTCTGATTCAATTCTGTTCATATTTTTGATAGCGTAGCGGAAGCGGATTTTCTTGTAAGTGTATTTTAGATTTTTCTTCTTGTACCTACTGTTGGGCCTTAGACAAGACGTTATTCTACAGAAAATAAAAAAAAATGGGAATGACATTAAATTTGTCATTTCAGTACATTTTATTAAAGGCATGCGCGACCTAACTTATATTGAAATTAATAAATATGAAGAATTTAACCTTCGACATATTAGTCTTGTCCAATTCTAAAAGTTTTATTTCTTTAGGAATATATATTATTAAAGTTTTTTTTAATTAATTATTAAACATTACGATTTATATATAAAATCAATAGTTTAAAAAAATGGCTTAGGTAGCATATTTTTAATTTTCAAATCGCTATTTCTTTTGAATGTGGTACGACCTCAAAAATCGGTTAGCTGTGCGTTTAGGGGATGCCAAATGGAAAGAGAATCAGCACTGATAAATGAATTCGGAACAAATGTTATTTTGATGTTTAGCGATACCGCGGCGTTTGGGGCGCGACGACTTTTGATTGCATTGTGTTCAAATGATCGGGCAATTCATTGAGATTTACGTTTACCAGAGCTTACTTGCTAATAATGTTGAATAAGATTGTTAGTTTCATTCATTATATGAAATTTATCAGTGAATATGTATTTTATATTATACTAGCATTGCCCGCGGCTGCGCCCGCGTTCAGATGACCTAAAACCAAATTCTTAGGTTTTACATATTAGTATACTCTTACATTGTAGTTTCTGTACTTTTTCTCAGAAATATTTTCCGTCGGTAAAAAGTACCCTATATGTTGACCCGGATAACCAGCTATCACTATACCAAATGTCATCAAAATCCCTCCAGTGGTGTTTCTGTGCTGCGGTAACATACATATAGACAAAAATTCTAAAAACTATAGATTCGGACTCTGTATCGTTAATAATGTCTATTTCAATAAGATTTTCCAAAAAATAATGTGCAGATTCGGCTTAGTTACAATTTTATTATATGTATAGACAATATATCTAGTGTCCTCAATGTTTGGAAGTCTTAGCTATTGAATGATCTTATTAAAGCATAATATTATGTATTTATATAATATTTTAGTTCTTTTTTCTTTTTTATTTTATTTAACACTTTTAATGATGTAAAAACTATAACGGCGGAAGCAGCAGCATTTCTTACAATTTTATTACATTTATTGTTATTTATCACACAATTTAATATAAAATGTCATATTATCCAACTATGTTAAATATAGTCGATATTTCTATGTATTGTTGACATCTGACAACCATCATAAAATCCCTGGATTATACCATTCAGAACAAATGACTAAACTGTCGAGTGAGTCCATTTGACATCGACTAGTGCTTGACAATGTCGAAAAATATATCGATATTTGACGAAATTACTAAACGAATTGTGTTGTGTTTGTACAGTACAATAACATAAAATACTTTTACCACAGTATCCTACAATCTGATGACAATAAATTTATAAAAATATTTTCTAAATCAAATAAAAATATAAATGCAAAAATTATAATTAGTATGTGTACTTAATTTTTTATTTTATCCCACATTTATATACTTTGGAATATTATTCCATTGTAATAATAATAAAGATCATTTTATTTCAACACAAATTACACAAAATCAAACAATAATGTTTTAAACTTCTGGGTTGGCGATTTGTAATAAAACACTTTACCACTTGCACTAATTATTTTACTTTCACGACCCAACACTCACTTTAATTTGCAATCACTTTTTCTTTTTCCTAATTTCACAAATGCTTATTAAGAACTGAGCAATATTAGGACAGTGTCACATTTTTATAACTACCCGAGATAATCAATTGCCAATTAAAATAGTTCAATAACAGAATCAACCAAATCACTTTATTTAATTAAATTAGCTTAATATTTTTTTAATCTTTACAAAATAATATTTATTATATATTAATGGAATATATACCCGATATTCATTTGTTCATTAACATTATTATAGGCCAACAGAATGTTGCCATCAATGCCATCGTATTTATATAAATCAAATTAAAAAATAATTATTATTTGACACATTATTATTGCCTCTTTAATTCATTTATTTTAATTTATTAAAATTAAAAGAAGAAGAATAAATTATAAGATGTAAAATATGATGACTATGCTAACCAATGTCTAAAATGTCATTCATTGGTTCATCGATATATGTATTTTATCGATTACGTTAAGCACTAGAAATATTGTATTGTGTATCAGTGTTTATAATAATGTAATAAAATCTTTGTGTGCGTTATGCGTCACTTGGTTGAACTAGTTTTCATACATTTGTATTTTATGTCAGGTCCAGTCTCTAATTCGTCCATGCATTTTGGGCTAAAATTTAATTAAGATATAATTTATATTTTATCTTTAGTTACAATACACAAAAAGTGAAAAATGTCTTATTGAAATATTTATTACATTTTAATACACTCAGAAAGCTTAAATGGTTGCATCTGTGGTATTATTGCTTGCTTTAAAAGGATTCCCCTGAAATTAGAAAATAATCCATTAGGTAGATATTTTACAATTATCCTATAGAGTAAAGTAACTACTTACTATTTTGTATGCAATCCAAGCGACGGTAGTGTTTTCGAGGCGCGGTCCCATTAGGGGATTCATTTGTCCAAAGTAGATTGTAAACCAGCTGGAATTAATGATTTTTGTAATTAAACTTTTTTTTTAAATGCAATAAACATATTATTATTATATGTTTGAATATAATGAAAATTATGAAAGAGGTCTTACAAAATCCACATGCAGAAAGCTGAAAGCATAATGCTGGCTTGCACTATGCTGAAATTTAAAGAAAAAATAAACATTACTTAGTTTGGTTACTTTTAGAAAATATAGAGGAAAAAAATGTGTAACACAATTTACCTAAAGCAGTTATTAAACACTGTAAAAAGATAAATAAATTGAAATAATTTTCTTTAACTCCTGAATATTTATGTTAAGAAGGCTGAAATTTGTTTCTTTTTGTTTATTTTAACGTGCAAGTCTCTGTGATAATCAGTCTTTTCTCGTTATTTGCATTCTAATTATTTATCTCTTGAGGAAAGCTGTTTAATATGCTAAAATTTTATGGTATATCTAATATATTTAAACGAGCAATTCTTGTGTATATATATATATATATATATAATCTGAATCTCGGAAACGGCTCCAACGATTTTCATGAAATTTAGTACACAAGGAGTTTCAGGAGCGATAAATCGATCTAAATTAGTCTTATGTCTGGGAAAATGCGTGTTTTCGAATTTTCATGCAGTTTTCTTTTGCATTATTCCACGCAAAATATTATGTTCGATAATTTCGCACGCTCGGGCATAAGCATCATGGTCAAGCAGCCAAGGCGCAAAATTGAATAAGTCTCCGGGTTCTCATCCTGGTCGGGATACAATGGTATAATTTTTGTAGTTATTTTTGTATTTATTCAAGTTTTTTTGTTTTTTTTAAAGAAAATTGTACTTTTGACCAAAAACTCCGAGCGAAGGTGGCCCAGGTACTATAATTAAAATATGCTTACGAAATAACCATGTTTTAATTGAAAAATAATAGCTTACCCCCGATTAGGCCCTTGCTTTACTAAAAATGGCCCAATTATCATCATAGCACCAAAAAAAGCAGTGATGGCATATAGCGGAGTGAGATACTTTTCATACGTTCGTTGTCCTTCTTGTAATGGTGTTATATCTATTTGGCGCTTATCACGAAGGCGACCAAGGTCATATTGAGGCTCGTCGTAGAGTTCATACAGTGCACTTTCTGTACTTAGATCTGAGTATGTATCAAACGTTTTATTATGTTTTAGATAAATACTTTGACAATTTAATGTTTTGGGTTATGGTGGCTAATCTCACTGAGACTAGCCAATTAGGGAGAGCGCAGGAAATATTTTAGTGCTCAAGTTAGCGCCCAAACACTCATTCTTTTCACTCTAAATTCCGACGGGACGATACTTTAACACGAGCGGTAAGAGACCGGGTGCAGGAACCATGGCTTTACGTACACTCCGAGGCACGAGGATGTTATACCGCAAACTTCCTAACTCAGGCTACTACTGAAGTTCTTAACAGAAACAAACAATAACTATACTTGGTCAGATCCGGGATTCAAACCCAGGACTCTCGGATCTGCTGCTATATATGCTAGCTATTACACCAATTAAGCACTGTTAGACCAGAACAGCGTCCAAACGTGGCAGCTTAGCTTTCGTCTAGTGGGTAGGAACCTAAGTTATGTCACTTTAGTATAAGAAGAGAATGAAATGAGATGCCTACCTTTAGTGTAACTTTGCTTAAAATAAGGATCAATAGCTTTGTACTTCTCTCTTATATTCTTATTTCTATTCATCCTGAAATGTTATAATTTGCAAAATTAAATTGGCAATAAATTTCTCTTACTTCGAAATAAATGCTAATGTCATGTCAAAAAGAATATCAATATTTGCATTTTCTTTCAAACCAGATATATTATTTGTGATTATTGGAATAAAAAATATTTTAATAGTTATTTATTATCTACACTAACTAACTGATTAATAAAAATTAACTTTTTTAAAATAAATTAAAAACAACGACGTGAAAACCTTAGATTCTCTCGTAACTGTGATTGTTGTAAAGCATTCGAAACTTAACCATTAACCAAGAATAAAAAAAACCTGTGAAGAAGTCCAAAAAAATAGATTAAATTTTAAATAATTAGATAGAAAGAAATAAAAATCAACAAATATTGTAAGGTACTTTATTACCATTTTTGAAATCATTTTTGTAAAATAGTGGGTAGGCACTGTCTGTATCAAGTGCCTATGTGTTTGAGACGTCCATAAGCTCAGTCTCTCCCGTGACCATGATTGCTGTAAAGCATTCAAAACGTCGGGAACCAAAAATCGAAATAAATACGCGAAATAATCCGAAAAGATAGTTTTATTTAAAATTTGATTGACTATTTTGTTAAAAATGTAATTTTGCCTGGATTTGGACGATTTCATTACATTAGAGACTGCATTCTAGAAAATATCTTTCCCCTCATTGTCATAATAGATTAAATTTTCATAATAAGATAATTTGTAGTTAGATGTTACGTTACACGTAAATAATGGGAAGTGATGATAAGTATAGCAAGCCGCTGGCGATATCTATATATGTTATATGTGATAGCTATATATTGGTTATTTTAACGATGACTAATATCGTCTAGAAAAATTTTCAATCGTTCTCAGTTTTATAAACTTGTTAGAGGCTTCCGATTAAACCAGTTTGCAACATTATAAGACGTGATCATTACAGGCATCAAGCGAAAAGTGTGAGAGAAAATTATCTAGGGCGCGTATCGTAACATAATAAAATACTTGCTAGATAAATAATCTCGGATATTTTAATCACGTCAAAGACCCAGCATCTCAAGTTCCCGAGGCTCTTCAATATCTGGACTATCTCGATCGATAGGGTATGCGCGCGCGCACCATAATGACTCAATTATCCGCTTAGAGGAGGCGTGGCCCGCTACACTATGTCTTCATTACAAGATGTCTTAGTATGGAGTTGGTTTTAATATTATCTATGATTAATTATCTATTTTAGTTAGCCATTAGTTTTAGTTTAGTTACCATATTAGGGGTTTTACTCGTAACGATAACCTTACATCATTCATTAAAATAAACCCAAACATTTTTTTTTAATATGTGATAATATTTATCGCACAATCAAATTTGGTGAACAAAAAAACTACGTTATTTTATAATAGATGGTATTGGCAATTAGTACTCATTATCTTAAGTAAAACAAAAAAAATTAAAAAAAAATTAGTTTTATTTCGAAAAGATAGTTTTATTTAAAATGTCAAATTTTCACGTAAATCTAAGAAAGTATTAAATATTTTTAATTTATAACTTAGAAAACAGTAATTCCATCTTCATGTTATTTAGCGTACAAGGTTGCGCATACGCAGCGGTACTAGGATACTATCTAAGTACTGGGAAAGGCAAAGAATTTATTGGTTATATCGATGTGGAGTCGTGATCGGCGTTTATGGTGCAGTCTAACCATAGTCTGCTAAACTTTATCTCCTCTGATCGCAGTTTAAAGTGACCTCATGGGTCATGAATTGATTTTTAAGGTACCATTTTATATTCCGGCCACACAGACTTATTGCTTTGTTATCTAAGTAATGTTAGCTTTGTTAGTATACTTATAATAATAATCTGCCTTATAAGTAATGTATGCGAATTTTTACTAACACAAATTAAAATTATCCTATTGCAGACAGACATTTAAATTTATTTTTACTTCTTATTAAATTTCCAGGAAGATAAAATCGATTATTTATAATATAAATTTGTCAAAATTGTAGGTAACAATATCACAATATAGCGAATATATAATTTTAATGCAAACTAGTTAACGGGTTAATAAAATGACTTGATAGTGAATGATCAAATAGGGCGTCGAAAGCGGAGCACTTGTCAGGCGTCGGTTCTGGGGTCGCGGTCAAGCGAGCGTCTAGAACTTCAATTTCCGGGGACAGGATGTGACATGATTTGAATTTTGATCCTTCAATAACACCCCTTTTTAAGGTTAAACGCCTTGACGTTGATATTTTTTTTTGTATAAAAAATAATTTCAAATTTCAAGTTTTGACAATATTTATTTACCATTGATAATTTTTAAGGACACATAATATTATTGGGATCGCTAAGATTTTGTAATTTATTTAATTATTACTGTTGTTTAAGAGTAGAAAGAAGTAGAGTGTTAATAATTTACATTAACTAAATTCGTTTATAATGTCATATTATTATTTTTCATAGATTTTAGAGAGTAATTTGTTAAATTAAGTTTGTAATAAGAGAAATGAAATAATTTTCTTCTATTAGAATAATTTATATAATAATGTGCTACCGACATATTCCGGCCACGGCGGCCAGTCTCATTGAGACTAGCCAACTGCGCAGGAAATATTATAGTGCACAAGTGTACGCGCAGACACAACGTGCACTCTCTATTCCTGTCACTCTCATACTCCGGTGGGACGACTACTCGACACGACCGGCGAGAGTTAAGGCGCTGGACCGACTGGTTTACCTGCTCTGCGAAGCACGGGGTGAAGCACAACCCACATCCAAACTTCGGGCAGTTACTGAATCTTACTAAATAGAAAGACTCAATAACTAAACTTGGCCCGACCCGGGACTCGAACCCAGGACCTCCGGATGTTCAGCCGTGTACATCCAAGCCACTACACCACCGAGACAGTTAAATAATTTACACGTAGGTATATAGAATATTATATGAGGTATGTATATATTTATTCCACCTTTGTCTACCTTCCTTAAAGTCAAAATAATGTTTATACCGTAGTTACAGTACTGTAAAATGCAGAATGTCATACATTGCGCTTCAGTAACGGGCCGTAACGACTTCACTGGAATAAATCACGTGTGATTTATTTTTATTTGCCTGCCACTTCTGAGTCTGCGAACTCTCTACGTACTCTATATCAACCTTAATTCAAATTTTTTTGTCTTTGTAATATTATATATTTGAAATATTATCAATTTACATTACTTACTGTTTAGGATAAACTTTTCGTATTTCGTGCGTAGATTTTTTGTCATGTTTTTCGAATCTAACTGATTTTTAGAATACTGTAAAGTTTTAAGTATTTTTATAAACTGTGTACAGGTATAAAAAATAATATTTTTTTCTCATTTTTTTAGATAAAAGCTATATCTTTAAAAAATTGCCATTATTTATTATAATTGAGATCATTATTAATAATAAATATACATTGATTTTAGATGAAATAGAAATCGCTGAGATATTTTCTTTAATTCAAAATATCTGTACTTTGTAGATATGGGAAAGAAAAATATGAAAAGAGAATAAGTCTAGATAACTAAAATCTCACGAGATATGTGCAATGTGAATTAAAAAAAACATATATTCATTTTATAGATCTGGATATTCGCGCACAGACCGACCGTATGTAAGTAAGATTTCTTAATCATAGTAGAGCGTAGAAGGTACTAAATAGGTCGGCCATAAATTACTTGTAACTTGAAAATGAATGTCTATTGGTCATCTTGTAGTTTTTTAACTGTTTTAGTTTTCCTGTACTTGGCTCATACATTGTAATGTTAACTTGGTTACTTGTCTTAGAAAAAGAAAGGAATAAAATTACTCGTATACGAAAATCTATACATATAATAAAATTGTAACTAAACCGAATATTTTTAGATACTTTTTGGAAAATCTTATTGAAACAAACATTATTATCGATACAGAGGCGGAATCCATAGTTTTTAGATTTTTTTATCTGTCTGTCTGTCTGTCTGTCTGTCTGTCTGTCTGTCTGTCTGTCTGTCTGTCTGTCTGTCTGTCTGTCTGTCTGTCTGTCTGTCTGTCTGTCTGTCTGTCTGTCTGTCTGTCTGTCTGTCTGTCTGTCTGTCTGTCTGTCTGTCTGTCTGTCTGTCTGTCTGTCTGTCTGTCTGTCTGTCTGTCTGTCTGTCTGTCTGTCTGTCTGTCTGTCTGTCTGTCTGTCTGTCTGTCTGTCTGTCTGTCTGTCTGTCTGTCTGTCTGTCTGTCTGTCTGTCTGTCTGTCTGTCTGTCTGTCTGTCTGTCTGTCTGTCTGTCTGTCTGTCTGTCTGTCTGTCTGTCTGTCTGTCTGTCTGTCTGTCTGTCTGTCTGTCTGTCTGTCTGTCTGTCTGTCTGTCTGTCTGTCTGTCTGTCTGTCTGTCTGTCTGTCTGTCTGTCTGTCTGTCTGTCTGTCTGTCTGTCTGTCTGTCTGTCTGTCTGTCTGTCTGTCCTGTCTGTCTGTCTGTCTGTCTGTCTGTCTGTCTGTCTGTCTGTCTGTCTGTCTGTCTGTCTGTCTGTCTGTCTGTCTGTCTGTCTGTCTGTCTGTCTGTCTGTCTGTCTGTCTGTCTGTCTGTCTGTCTGTCTGTCTGTCTGTCTGTCTGTCTGTCTGTCTGTCTGTCTGTCTGTCTGTCTGTCTGTCTGTCTGTCTGTCTGTCTGTCTGTCTGTCTGTCTGTCTGTCTGTCTGTCTGTCTGTCTGTCTGTCTGTCTGTCTGTCTGTCTGTCTGTCTGTCTGTCTGTCTGTCTGTCTGTCTGTCTGTCTGTCTGTCTGTCTGTCTGTCTGTCTGTCTGTCTGTCTGTCTGTCTGTCTGTCTGTCTGTCTGTCTGTCTGTCTGTCTGTCTGTCTGTCTGTCTGTCTGTCTGTCTGTCTGTCTGTCTGTCTGTCTGTCTGTCTGTCTGTCTGTCTGTCTGTCTGTCTGTCTGTCTGTCTGTCTGTCTGTCTGTCTGTCTGTCTGTCTGTCTGTCTGTCTGTCTGTCTGTCTGTCTGTCTGTCTGTCTGTCTGTCTGTCTGTCTGTCTGTCTGTCTGTCTGTCTGTCTGTCTGTCTGTCTGTCTGTCTGTCTGTCTGTCTGTCTGTCTGTCTGTCTGTCTGTCTGTCTGTCTGTCTGTCTGTCTGTCTGTCTGTCTGTCTGTCTGTCTGTCTGTCTGTCTGTCTGTCTGTCTGTCTGTCTGTCTGTCTGTCTGTCTGTCTGTCTGTCTGTCTGTCTGTCTGTCTGTCTGTCTGTCTGTCTGTCTGTCTGTCTGTCTGTCTGTCTGTCTGTCTGTCTGTCTGTCTGTCTGTCTGTCTGTCTGTCTGTCTGTCTGTCTGTCTGTCTGTCTGTCTGTCTGTCTGTCTGTCTGTCTGTCTGTCTGTCTGTCTGTCTGTCTGTCTGTCTGTCTGTCTGTCTGTCTGTCTGTCTGTCTGTCTGTCTGTCTGTCTGTCTGTCTCTGTCTGTCTGTCTGTCTGTCTGTCTGTCTGTCTGTCTGTCTGTCTGTCTGTCTGTCTGTCTGTCTGTCTGTCTGTCTGTCTGTCTGTCTGTCTGTCTGTCTGTCTGTCTGTCTGTCTGTCTGTCTGTCTGTCTGTCTGTCTGTCTGTCTGTCTGTCTGTCTGTCTGTCTGTCTGTCTGTCTGTCTGTCTGTCTGTCTGTCTGTCTGTCTGTCTGTCTGTCTGTCTGTCTGTCTGTCTGTCTGTCTGTCTGTCTGTCTGTCTACTTGCCTGCCTGTCTGTCTGTCTGTCTGTCTACTTGCCTGCCTGTCTGTCTGTCTGTTACCGCATCACAGAAAAACCATTGGAGGGACTTTGATGAAGTTTGGTATGGTGATAGCTGGTTATCCGGGTCAACATATAGGATACTTTTTACCGCGGGAAAATATCTCATTTTTGACATCTATCTCATATAAAACTGCAATGTAAGAGTATACTAATATATAAAACCTAAGAATTTGGCTTTTCGTCATCTGAACGCGGGCGGAGTCGCGCGCAATGCTAGTGTAATATAAAGATAATGTGCTAAAACGATTGTGTTCTTCGTTTTTAAATTCATTCGCTACTACATTAGGCGTTGTCAAGGGCCATTACACCACAATAGAGTATAACAAAGCAGCAAAGCATTGTATGGAGGCGTGAACAAGCACTACTTGTTCAATTTGTATCCGAATTGTGATTAGGAGAGTCCGTATTGTTACATGTTAGTGGTTAGGATAATTTTGATATACTATAATAGACTTAGCGTTTTATATTTATGTATGTACAATATTTTGTAGGAATTTCTTTTAGTATTATTATGAACGATACATTTTACAAAATTAGATATGTAGGTACTTATAAAATAATAATTTTATTATTTATGAGTTTAGTTTCTCGATGTTTTTACGAGTATAATGAATATTTTTTTGTTATCTTTATATAATTTATTTACCTTTTCTATAAAAATAATTGTAATTTATGTTATGTATATGTAATTTCAATGTGTTTTCTTTTCTTGTTAATAAATATTTATTGCTCGTTAAAAAAGGTACAACATAACTTTTGTAGAAATATTAAGCTTTGTCTAACATTGAGAAATTCTGTCATTTCTCATTTCTGCCATTAATACTTGATCCTTACATGAAATACGTTTATATGGTGGTATGTTCTGATGATCGTAGCTCCATACAAATATTAACAAAGTTTATATTTTATGTGCTTTACTTTCCTTAATTTACTATAGAGCATTGTGTTCGCTTCATAGCTAACTTCATATCGAGATAGATATAATAGGCAAAGACCGAACAGTTTTGTACCTTTTTCCTTTGTTAACAGATTTTTTTCTTTTTATTTAGTAATTATTAATAAAAAAAAAATATATTGATAGGTAAACACAAAACAGTTTTCTAAATATATTTTCAATACTAAATTATAGTAAAATTTCATCTGCTTGTAACACTAGTCTTTATTAAAGTACGATATATTCCGCATTAATTCTAAGTTTATTCACAATGTATGTGTTCGTAAACCAGTCAACAGTGCATTAGGTCGCTGTCAGTAGCGACAATGCTCAACAATGGGGTATAACAAAGCAACAAATCATCGCACGGAGGCGTGGACAAGCCAACTAGCTGGTAAGCGTGTTCAATTTGTATGAGAATTACGATGTTCACTTGCATAAGATTTGACTAGCTTTGAAAAAGTGGATTTGTATTTTTGTTGATTTCTATGTTCGTTGTTTGCGTTAGCGCCATCTCATGATGCAATGCATTATCCAAGCACTTGCCAAATTACATTAATCAGATTAGATTTAAGATATAATCTAAATCGGTTCTATTAAAGACTTAATAGATTTAAGAGTAAAAAATATTTTTTTAAAAAAGTTTGGTTCATGTTTATAATTATACTCATTGCCGTCTAAATATTATATAAATTATTATATAAATTAAATATAAATTAAGTACTCAATAAAACAAAATTTCACTGTTTTTAAAACAGTTCGATCTAAAATCTGATCGTTTATATATCACAATCTAACACAGAAAAATATTTTTTTCTTTGACATCAATATTAAATTCTTATACAAATAAATAAAATAAATCTTAAAAATGCCAAAATCTCATTGTCAATAAAAAATGGGCTGATTATCATCTATATTACACATCTATGTGTATTGTATATATATGTATAACATTTAGCGATTTATCTAACAATATTTTAAGGTAGGTACAACCTTTAACAGACCTTTTTAAATATTAAATATGTATATTAAAAATAAGCATGAAATCTTATTCATATTCTTAACGAATACTGTCGCGAATTTCATAAAAATGATTATTGGCTCATTTTT